TATTTAAAATAGCTTGGATATATAAAAAGCTAGCTTTTAATTCATTTAATTTAGAGGTATTTTAATTATAGTAATTTAAGTTAAAGAAAGGAAGTTTCTAGAATACTCTTTATATAGAAGAAAAATAAATATAAAGCACCTATTAAGTAAACATAGTTACTAGGGGCAGAATTCTCAGTAGTCTGTAGTATCGCCTAGATGTAATAAGTGGGCGTAGCCTGTAATATTAAACCTAGTTAAAGTTGTGAAGTTATTATTGAAGTGATGTTGAAAGTGATGAGATTGTTAACGATAGCGCACCTAAGCGCGCGTGGGGGAAATGGGGCCGAAGAGATGGCGATCTGCAGGATCGTGATCACGTGACCAGTAGGCCGTTAGCTGAAGGGGGAAGTCGGAGGTCGTTGCAGTACAGGTTCCAGGTAAAAATCACAGTAGCTGGCCAGAGGCCTTGACCCTGATTATTTGGCTCAATAGCTGGCAGGAACCAGTCTGCCCTCAAAATGGCAGAGACTGGCCCGAAACTTTCCACTGTATTGAGCAGCGTTGTCGCTCATCCTCTCAGTCGGCAGCAACTGGATGCCCCCCAGAGTGAAGCGCCGACGGACCTTTGGGAGCTCACTGACAAGGTCATGAAGTTTTATACCCCATCATCAGACAATACCTACATGATAATCTCGACTTTTCGGCAAATTCTTTCGAAACAGGGAGCGATCGCTCTAATGACCGACATCAAAACGATCAGCAGAGATCAAGTGAAGCTCAAGGCATTCTCACGCTACCTGATTGACACAATCCTCAAGCCAAGTTAGTCGTGATTCTATTTGAGAGGTTTGCTATCCGGGCAGTGTCCGCCACACACGCGTGTCATCCGTAAATCCGGCTAAGTCACACTGTTTTTCTTACACTACTTTTTAGCGACAACTTTTCCCATATACTCATCTCGTTATCGTTGTCGTCGCTCGTCGTCGTTGTCGTCCCTCTCCCTATCGTTTTCTCTACTACTGTCGTTCTTGTCGAAGTATTGGGTACGCTACGATCGAAGTCACAGGGGACACTGCCCGGATAGCCACCTGGCACTGCCCGGCTAGGAACCTCTTATCTAAGTCAATCTTGTACTGACCAAAGTTTGATTTCAATAGTGAAGCTTGCGAGTATGGTCAATTCTGTCGCACTGGCATCCACACCCGCGTCGCCCAACCCCAATGCTGCCAACTGGATTACCCAGCTCGCGGGCAATACGCAGCCTGCAGCCAGAGGCCGACGGGAAATCCTCAAGGATGAATGCCTCCTACGTAATGGATTCCGCTGTGCATACAGTCATTACAGCGATTATGAAAGTATTACGAAAGGGCTATTTGTGCCGCCTGCAGGCATGCCCGCCGGTGGCACTCATCTCTCACATGTGTTGCTGTTAGGCCTTGGGAAGTTTAACAACGCCAATCAAGTCGAAAGAGAAACGGTGGCCAATTTTTGGTATGCTTTGTACCGATACTTCCCTGGATTGGAGGGGTAAATCGGCCCGGACAGCCTGAATCAACACCAGAATCTCATCACCTTTCACACCGGTGTTCGTGAAGACTACGACGACCACAGGTTGGCTTTCAATCCCATCGAAGGCAAGGTAGGTCATCTTTGCAGTTTCTTGTCCGCTAAATATTTCAATTTTTATCTAACGTCCGATGGATAGATCAACAAATACGAGATCAAGAACCTTCAAGGGGCCCCTTTCGCTGTCAAACCCCCGCAAGGCCATCGTGAAGTCATGACGCTGGTCTCATTCGACAACAGATACCCGCTCCCTGAGCCGGAGTTTTTCAGGGCTCATTATGAGATCGCGAAAATTCTTGATACAACTGGGATTGGGGTAAAGATTGAGGCGGAGATAAATGCTTCTTATTACGACCCCGAAAACCTGAGCCCTGATGGCTCAACTGACTTGGCGTCGATCCTGAAACGGAAGATGCTGCTGAACGTTTGATTCCAACCCAACCTCGCACAGGATGGCAATGCTCGTGGTGTTTGCGTATTGACACATCTCCTGGGTTTGTTTTGAGTGTTGGAATTCGTTTGGGGTCTTGTTTTGATCCACGACTTTGGTCTTTTTTGAGCTTTGCGCCGTAAAGTGACTATTTCCAAAGCAAAAATATCATACGAGTTGGGATGTTTGTGTTTGCTATTTGAACTTCAAGAGACCCAGGTTCAGTGTGACAACATAAGCAAGGACCTTCTCGGGAAGGACCCAAAAACACTTATCATCCGTGAATTGAAGAAATGTTTCCCTCATATTTCTATACAGCTCTCATTTCATTTCCTTCCGTCTTCTTTTCGTGTCTTCCCTTTAGTTGTCGCACCCATTGGCTAAGACTTGAGTTCCGCTATATTTGGATACTCGGAGCATGCGGCCGAATAGAAAAGCTTTTGATTGCGTGTCAATGACCAGAAAAAGTGTACAAATTGATGGACACGTCCAAGGTTTGTGCGGTGAGACGAAGGTAGCAATATTTCCTCTTTTTGGGAAATGCAAGTTGAGGAAGAAGTGGATGCCGCAGCATGGCAGCCACTCTGCTTTCAAGTTGGCGCAGGGGATGTGTTTGCAGAAGCTCTCTAATTTTGCAGTTCTTGCGCCAACAGCTTCGGTGAAGCCTCAACAAACAGCTACAGAACCCCTGGCTTCAAGAGCGCATATAAAACCACATCATGACCCAATGACACCCCCTTTGAAACTTTTCATCTTTACACCAGCGACCCAATTCACCAGACCATCATGCTTCGTCCCGCCTCCCAGCTGGCCATTGGGCGGAGCATGCTCCCACGCGGATGGCTGGCATCGAAACCACTTATTCCATCCTTTCTTGCAAGGCCTGCCAACAGTTACCCAGTCTTTGCCCTCAAGCGAGTTCTTGGCCCCTCAACCATCAAGAGGTTCGCCTCCAGCGGGCCAACTAAGAGGGAATCAAAGGCGACGCGAGACACTTCTGTAACGACATGCACTGTATCCCAATTCTGCAGAAAGCATGGAGAAGACTTGAAAAGGTGGATTCAGACCGGGAAAGCCTTTATAATCGGTTACCGCACCACCTACGGACATCATGAGCTCTGGGAATCATACAAAGAATCGCTGTCACGCCACGCACGCCTGGGGTGGAACTTCAAGTTGATCATCATTGAAGACGAAGATGTTCTCGATGGTCTCTCCTTCCATCAAGTACGGAACATCCACAACGACCTAGTCTCAAGGTCTACCGGATTGAGTCCGAATGAAATAGCTGAATACGGGGCCCCTGGACTTGATTTTTTTACGCACATCAGCGACGAATATCTCATGGACATTAAGAGTGGGGAATCGCGCATGCGACCTTTTACTCTGGTCTCTGCCTTATGGAAACCTTGGTACCTTCATCCCCTAAAACGCTTCATTGCTCGGTATCTGTCACCTAAGAGTGATCCTGAAGAGGGACGTGGTTATTTGCAATTCAACGAATGCGATCTGTCCCCAACTTTGTATCAAAAGTTGGCATGTACCAAAAGGGATTCCAATGAAAAACTTGGTTGTCTTGGTAGATACGGCAGGTGGACTTATTCTAGCGTCTGGGGCCGTACAAAATAGATGGTTCATTTTTACTGCGAAGCTGCACTGGGGAAAAACAGATCCAGAATCTTTCTTCATGGAGTCTTGCTAGCGGATACTTCCAGCTGACCGAGTACAAATCTTTTTGTGCTAGCTGCATATCATTTCCATTATTCATTTTCTAAAAAGCGAGACCCAAAACCGAAATCCATGATATATCCCTACCCGTGCTCCCGCCGCCGTCGTCGTTATTGTTGTTGTTGCTGCTGTTATTGTTGTTGTTGTCGCCATCGTTATAAGATGATTATCCGTCCGAATAGCAAATCTCGCATGAAAATCACGGTTTATCGGTTGATATATCGATCGATCAAGAACGTAAACTGAGACCTCCACCATTCCAGGAAGCCATTAAATGGGATGAGGCCCGATGGCAGGTCATATAATGACAAGGATGATAACAAATTGCGACAGGATCAAGCCCGTCCGAGTGCAGCACATTGAAGTAAGAGGAACATAACACGGGGCTTCAGCCATAAGGATCTGATCAGGTCCCCCTGACAACACGGGAAGTTAGTGAGATTTAATGAGCTGTTGAAGATGGTCCTATTGCCGCGCACACTGCGTTATTCTTCTATCCGCTAACGATAGATGGTCAACAAGAACACGCAGTCCCCATGGAAGGATGAGTTTGGTAGGTACAGGCTGTTTTCAAATACCTGGCTATCTGGGCAATTGAGTAGAGGCTTGCTTGAGTCACGAATCACTGTAGCTTTCAAATTATGAAATGCACTAAATGTTTTAACAAGTTGTGGAAGTCTGTGTTGCCAAAGCCAAGGGAGTGAATCAAGTATTGCCTCGCCGTCAGGTCGTTTGCATCAGGGGCATACGTCTTACCTGCGCTTCACGATGCTGGCTCCCGGCTTAGGCTCGAACGACGCTGAGCTTGCTATATAGGGGATCAAGCTAACTATTGTTGGTTCTTGCCAATGTCTTCTCTCCCGTAATTGAGCTTCCGATTCCCAGATGAGTGGCAGCACTTTTATTCATGGATTGCAACAGGGATCTCCACAAGGACCAATCAAATGGCACACATAGACTGGGGTTGGCGCGGGGTTGCTCACTTGCAGCCGGCCGGCTTCTTGTCATTCCGCGTGAGGTGCTGCTGACGTTTCCTTTGCGATGCAGCATGAGGTTGTTGTAGACTACATACTCCCTTGGCAACCAGCATGCGACTCCAGCGCCATCCACAGACCTCACATTAGAACCTTCTCAAAACCCACTCTTCCTGATCGTGAGCGTAGTGATGGAGTCGGTTGTCAATAGTGATGATGGACGTACAGTCACAGCTATCGTCAACAGATCGGAACTAGTCGAGTCTTGTCAGTGTTGTCCAGCTAGGCCGTATCTCGAGATTGATATCCCCCATGAAATGATGTCCGTTGAGAAGTTGACCATCGTCACCATCTCACACGACCAAGGTGCGTTGTCACGATTGATCCTTGCAGCCGCAAGACTATGCCACTGCGATGGCGCGGATATTCATTGATCACGTGCGCAGGCTTTAGCAACACAGAGGAAGCCGACCGCGGAACGTATAATTCGTCGTTTACCTGGTTCGAAGTGGTAGTGATCTCGGAATCTAACCACGAGCGATCGCCTGCCAAGGATGTGCAAAGAAATGTTCACGCATCGCGAGAAAGGAAGCGCCATGAAAATGTGTACGACGTCCGCGACGACGACGACACCCGACGCTGGCTCTCTACTATCCATGGAGGTGACACCATTCAGCTGGTCATGCGTGCGGAATTCCCGGCCTGGGTCAACTACTGCTACGAGGCAGAGATAAAATTAGTCGGTACCGCCGTTGACAGCGATACTATCCGTCCTTCATTCGAGGCCTCGGTTACCAGCAAGAGGCCGAACATTTATACGGCGTTGAATCAGTCTTCCCGAGACATCCGAGTTCTCGCAATCAGTCCCGCTTCCTTTAACGAACCTATACACTGTTCTCTCAAGATAGTGTCACTGGACGATGACAAAATCCAAAGCTACGATGCGCTTTCTTATTGTTGGGGCAACTTGCCAGCAGACAATTTTATCGAACTTGATGTCGAATCACTCTCAGGGGAAGGCGGGGAAGCACATCAACTGGCTCTATCCACAACCTTGTTCGAAGCATTGCGACATCTTCGACCCCATACAGGGTACCCTAAGCTACTATGGGTCGACTTTATCTGTATAAACCAAAGCGACCTTGCAGAGAGAGCTGCTCAGGTGGGCATCATGCCCAAGATCTACTCCCGAGCGGAGAAGGTCCATGTCTGGCTCGGATCAAGCGACGTAGTAACTCAACGAGTCATGAAAGACGTCATGGACGTCGCCTCTCGATACGACGACGGTAGCATTGAAGCTGACGAAGGTCAAACAGAGAAAATCAAGCAAAGACATGGGCCGGTATTCCCAGGACATCTTGAAGATAGGATGCTGACCTTTGTGTCCGACTGGCGGAGCTGTGACTTTGCCTGGTTCAGGCGTACCTGGGTTCTTCAAGAAGTTGCCAATTCGAAGTCGGCAGTGGTTCACTGCGGACGCGATGTGGTGCCCTGGTCCGTCATCTTGAGACTGGCAGATTGCTTCATCAAGGCCAAGCGGATCACAAGCCTCTTCAGGTACTCCATTATGCCTCCTATCTTCACATCGCTCTTTCGGTTGGAAAACAACGTTGTAGTAGACGCACCTCGGATATCTGACCGCGGAATCCTCGAAATCCTTGTTGCCGGCCATGACCTTGAGGCCAGCGATCCGAAGGACAAGATCTTTGCTCTGTTACAGTTCGGCAGGGAAACCTCTGAGCTAGAGCGATTGCCATCTCTCATCCGACCAGACTACACAAAGTCCGTAGCGCGTGTATTTGCCGACTTCACGAGATGGTGGATCATGTCGCATAATTCTTTGAGAGTCCTATCTGCGGTACATACGAATAAGGATCGAGCGTGGCAACAGATGAGCTCTGGCCTGCCAGTAGACCTTGATTCTTTAAACCGGCCGACGTGGTGCTTCTGGCATGGCGGCGCCTCTAGCTGGGCAAAGGCAACTCTGGCGCTCTCAGAAACAACGCCGTACCGATCATCGGGCGATTCGGTCCCAGATATGGCACTGTTGGCAGAAGATGTTGATGAACCGATGCATTTACGCCTACGAGGAGTACGCGTATGCACGGTCGAAAGCATTCAATTATATCCAATGTTCAGAAGAACATCAACAAACGAGATGGAGAAGGCTTTCTTCCGGATCTTCGACCCAACAGGCCTGCAGAAGACATGGATTTGGAACAGGGAGGAGCAGACCATTCCGCCACCGAGCAATGTCTTTGAAGACCAAGACTCTCTGAATAGATTGGGAGAGCACTATTCAGCACACTGGCAGTTTGTGAGACAAACAGGTGGTGCCGTTCCATGTTGCAGTCTCTGCAATTTTCGTGGAATCAAATGTGAACGAGTTAGGAAAGAAGACGGAGAAGATTCAGTATGTGGCTTGTGCCCACACAATGCCAGAGTCTCCGATGTTGTGGTTTTGCTTGAGGGAGGTAACGTACCGTATTTGTTACGCAGATTACCCGATTGTGGATCTCATGGAAAGAGAAAAGAAGACGACGACAAGGGAGACAAAAGAGACGAAGGGGAGCAGGAAGAATCGCCCGATGGGCATACTTTATTCCCTGAGCATTACCAATTTGTTGGCGAGTGCTTTGCGGATGGGTACATGAATGGGGAGGTATGGAGGAGTCTTGTGAGTGATTTAGGCAGCTCGGGGTTAGAAAGTTTTACCCTGGTGTAAAGGGTAGAAAAACTACCAATGTACTCACCAACCAATTGTGGTGTTCTTAGATAGAACAGAACCAGACTTTTGGCTCTCGGGATGAAGTCTCGCTCGAGGTAGTGGATTATGGCGGCGGCTTCCTCGAACAACCTACCGCACCTTCACTTGTATCATGTCCAAATTGCTGTGGAACTTTGTCAGAGAAGTGGTGAGGATATAATGTGAATTTCGCTTCACATTCGGAACCCCCGAGCCTGAACCCCGTGTGACCCGGGTGCTCCCCCACTTTTCCGGGACTACCCCGTTGCCGCTCCACGGCAATTTGACTAGGCGGTGTCCGATGAGGTCCGGGAGTTCGGCACAAGAACAGATTGAAAAGGCAATTCGATTCACTGATCAAGGAAGTCCGAGTTCACCGTTTGCGAAACGGAAGATCTTATCACGATGGTCAATTTGATATAGTGCGCCATCAGCCAGGTTTCCGGAAGACTAAGCCCACACTAGCCTTCAATTCATCGCGACTTTTGGGTCTTTGCAAGGACAAGCTTTCTTCCTTCGTTGGTTTCTCCGCTGTCATGACGATACGGGCGGGCATGAGCCGAGGCTCTTCTCTCAGTCCCCATCCAAGGCGGACCTTTTCGTTCTCGGGACCAGGACACGGACGTTGTGATGAGTAGACGAGAGCCGTCCAGCCGTCCGCCTTACCTTCTGCCGGCCAGGGCGATGAGTGAGGCACATGTGAAGGTCCATAAAAGACGTCAAAGATACAACGCAAGGCGATATCACGGCCAATAAATGACTTGCAGTGGTGATATAGCCATGGTAGAATTAGGCGCCGATCCTCCGATCCTCAATGAGTCGTGCTCGGTAGCCGGGGTTCTGTTTTCTCTTAAACGCCGTCTGCGATTCGATCATCAGTGCCACGAGCATTCTTCAAGTTCGGGAAGTTGTTGGAAGATCGTATCACATACTTTGATCGCCCCCAATAACCCAAAACGCATGGGCCAATATCACCACTTCAGGTTAGGACAGGTATTGGGAAGGCGCACATCATTACCAGATTACGATTGTCATCATCTATGGGTATCCGCTCGACTAGCATTGACATATTTGCACACGTGGGCACGCATTTCTTTCCCCACACACCGCTATGACCGCCCTTACAAGGCCAGGATCCAGTCCCGCAGGACCTTTTGGATCTCGTAGCTGTTCTTCTCCATGAAGAACATGTGTCCGTTGCCATGGATGCCAGCCTCACCAAGCTCGAGGTGCTTGGCCTTGCTGCATCCGGCCTGCTGCAGGAACTCCACGGTGCAGTGATCGTAGGGCGCGTGGTAGGAGGCCTCGGAGGTGACGAGGAGGATGGGCTTGCTGGCGAGGTTGACGAGCTGGCGGGGCGCGGGCTCCTCAGCTTGCAGGACGCACTGGACGTAGTTCTCGCCCTTGGCGGCGTAGGTCGCCTGGACGAGGTCGGTGGTAGGGTCGGTGACCTCGGGGGAGTAGGTGATGGGGATGTCGGTCAAGCCATAGGGACGGCCGGCCTTGGTGCTGAAGATGGCTTCCTGGAAGGGAGGGCCCGTGGGCTCAAGGAGGATGAGAGCCTTGGTGAGCTCGGGGCGGGCGTCGGCGATGATGATGGGCATGAGACCACCCTGGCTGTGACCGAGAACGACGGCGGGGCGGCCGATCTTGTCGAGCAGGGCGGCACCCGCGTCCTGGACGGTCTTCTGCTGGTACGTGGCGTTGTTGACAAACTCGACGTTGGAGCTGTAGAAGGCATCGAAGATCGGGTCGCCCATGGTGCCGGTACCGGGCCACTGGGTGTGGTTGGCAGCTTGGGCCCAGAGCATGTAGTCCTTGACGGCGGTGAAGCGCTGCTGGATGATCTCAGCGGAGTAGGTCGAGGGCTTGATTGCGCCGTAGGCGGGCATCCAGGCGGAGCGGCCACGGAACGTCTGGTCGACGATGTAGACCTCGAAGCCCTGTCTCACAAAGTGAGAAGCCCAGCCACGGCCGCCATCGGGCTTGTTGAGGAAGTTCTGGGGACAATATCAGTAAGGTTCAAGGCTCGGCCGAGAAAGATTGTGACCTTCCGAAGAGGGCCTTTGGGATCTGCAATGCACTTACGGTACCCGTTTGGGCCTGTCCGTGGATCAGGACGATCGGCGTCTCTTGGGTGACGCCAAAGGTAGGGAGCAACTTCTCAACGTACATCTGGTCACGGAAGATGTGACCACCGGAGCCATCGTCGACGTAACCGCCTCCGACGTAGAAGTAAGAACGAATGTAGGGGACCTCCGAATCAACGCATCCCTCATCCGGCGTAGGCGGCAGTCCGCCACGTTGGGGGAACGCGGAGGCCTGGCCCAGCAGAGCGGCGGCCACAGAAGCTAGCTTGAGGAACTGCATATTGTGCTGCGTCGGCGTATGTCACCTTGATACCAAATGAGACACGGGGGGCTAGCAATTGACTAGATGGGAGACCCTTTGGAACAAAAGGAGTGGAAGGGGGAAGGGGGAACCGAACCAACGGAGAGTGACTGAGAAAAAGAGCGACAGTGGTTGGGCAGGGGATCAACAAAGTTTCCGTCCACGCGACGGAAGGGTGGCAACTCATTCTTTTTAATTGAACGAAAATCACCTTGCCGCGAGCTCCGCTAGTCTAGCATAAGGGTCCCATCCTTCGAGCGATTTCAATGATAGGGCTGATGGAGCGGCCAAGGAATGAGGTAATACGACGTCGAGACATGGCTTGCCGGTGAGCCTAGCGGGACGCCACCGCCTCCAAGGCTTCGATTCGGTCTGTAAGTCTGGATAGCGGCACTCGCCCGATGGACCGAGACGCCATGCGGCCACTTCCCGATCGTGGGATGGAGAGTGGGCAACTTCACGGCGTACGATATGCGGCGGAACTCGGGGGGGTTCAATTGACAATAGGGGATAGTTGGGGGTTATTCAGCACTGCCTAATTTCCATCCATCGAAGAAGTTGGCCTGCCCATATTAAAGTGGTGTTGTCCGGGCGCGAGTCAGTTCGCCGACAGGGACCAGGGCCTCAACACACGCGAGGGTCTCATATAGAACGGGGCCGCGGTAGCATCGTCGAATAACCATGGATATTAACCTTCACTAGAGGGCTGGATGCGGATCATGTCCGAGCATTAATCTCCGTGCGCAGAGGAAAGAGGAGAGAAAAACTGCTTCGTGATCGCTTTCTTGGGTTGCTGTCAAACGCAATGGGAAGCTCGGGTTTGGGGGCTAAGTTCTGTCAAAAGGACAATTGCCGAAGAGGGAACTTGTGTGCTTGAAGAGAGAAAAGCAATGACTTGCAATTTTGGTGGGGGAGTTTGGTGATCTTATGGCGGGTCGAAGAGTGGTGATTATGATGATCTTGGTCCATTTCCCACATCTTCCCACATCGGTCGTGGACAATCTGTTGATCGGACCCAAAATTCACTGGGGCATCAAGGAATCAACCTGCTTGACTCCAAGTGGTGGCCAAGACCGACTGTCTTACCGGCTTTTCAGAACGGCAAGACGGCTGTGGCTGTATCTACCGCTAGCTTTTGCTAGTGCCCAGATCAACCGTCAGGCCATCCCCGTCTTTTCCTAGTAGACGTTTGCTCCTCCGATGCATCCCTGCAAGGTACGCGCACGCACGCCCGCCCGCCAGCCACGGGGAGCAGATTTTGATATCGTATTTTGTGTCTTTCAACTCCGTCGGCAAAAAGATGAAAAGGGTCTGCCTGGTTCCGGTCGCTGGAGAACAAGATCTAAGCGAAGGCTGCCTCTTCATGCCGGTTGTTGTTGTTGAAGAATCAAGAAATCCGCTCCACACTCGAATCGTCTTCGGTACGCTTAAATCCTCTCGGCAAGCGATGTTGCATGCGGTGCTGCGGCACAAGAAAAAAAGAAAGAAGATCCCTGGATCTTACGTTACTTCTTGTAAGTCCGTAACAACCAGTCCGGTCACCTCGGCTTCTAGAAGTCTAAAGGCCTCCCCCTCGGACAGAGCCCCACGGTGGATCGCAATCACACATCTGGCCTGGGATGGGGGAGTCTGCAGCCGACGTGCATCCGAAGGCGCAGGGAAAGTTGGGGTTGAAGAACGGAGGTCTCAAGCCCTGATCCTTTCATCTGGGCCGGCCTCTTCGCAAGGTCTGGAAACTGGTCACGCCGCAAGAGTTTCTCGGAATGGTATGATGCCCTTTCGCAAGGCGCCGGGATGAGGAGACGTACGGTTGGGACTAAGCAGTGCCCCTATCTCTTAGTGTAGGTGAGGCAAAGAGGATAATAATGGTTCATGAACTGCCCCGTCTGCACTACTCTCGAAGGACCCTTTTTTTCGTCGTCTCTTTCTCTTTCTTGACCTTCCCTTCGTCCCACGTCGCTGTGCGAGTGCCCGCTTCGGAACTTCGCCGGCTATGGATGACCCGACGCTCCTCATCCATTGGCTCTTCAGCTGCCTGGCCTTGGCGGTCATGTTCGCCAGGCTAGTCTGGAGGAAGATAGCCAGGCAGGAGTACAACCTGGGCGATTATCTCACTATCGCCGCCTGCATCTGCGCACTGACTCGACTTGGCCTCATTCATGTGGTGTTGACCTGGGGGACGAACAACGTGACGCCGAAATTTCGAGACTCGCACAACTTTACAGACGAAGAGATCTACAGACGGGAGATCGGCAGCAAACTGTCTCTCGTCAACCGGGTTTTTTACAACTCTTAGTCAGTTCTCCCCTTTGATAACCCCCTGGTGCACTGCAACAACCCATGTTGCGTCCTCGCTTGTATGCCCTCTTCTGCATGCAATCGAGTCAGGAAGGTTTTTAGAGTTGCGATCGATATACTAACTCGACTCAAGTCTTTGGTTGCAGAAGCTTGTCTTGTTGGACGTCTACCGTCGTCTCATTCTCAACTTGCGATATGAGAAGATTACCATTTGGTCCTTTTCCCTTGTTTTCTTTGGCACCTACGTCGCCTGCCAGGTGACGACCTTCAGCGAATGCAACCCCTTTCACCTTTACTGGCAGGTTCTGCCTGACCCTGGTATGTGACTAGTCATATTTGAGGATTGTCAAGAGAACATTATGACTGACCACTCGCCCTTGCAGGATCATGTTCCAAGGCCCAGCTTCAACTTGTTGTCGTTGGAGTTCTTAACATTGTGACCGACTTCATGCTTCTCGTCCTCCCAATCCCGTTGGTCGTCTCCCTCAAGACCCCTTGGCAGCGAAAAATCCAACTCTACGCCCTATTCACCCTCGGAATTTTCATCATCGCCATCACCGTCATCCGCCTGCCGATCAACATCAACAACAAGGACCTGCAAACCAACCGCACGACATGGGCCAGCACCGAGCTGCTCACCGCGGCAATCGTCGTCAACGCCCCGACGATCTACGGCATGTGGAACAAGAGGAGGCAAAAGAAGTCATCAGGCAAATCGACCAACCCATCAGGTCTTCACTACTACGGCGGCGGCACCCACGCATCAACGGTTCACCGATCGACTGTTCGAGCCCAGGGACCGGAGGAGTCGTTCGCGATGAACTCCACAAGGCGCAAAATGGGACCCATGGAGGGTATCATGCAAACGAAAGAGGTCATCGTTTCAGAATTTCGGCAAGATGGAGACCACCGTATAAATGGACGATATGAGAATCTCCCGGATGATGTGGAGAATGCGTCCAATCATTCGAGCCAACACGGCATTTTGAAGAAGTAATGAGAAATTTCAGAGAGTAGAATAATATAACGGCATTACGACCCAAGTTTTCTTCATCTTCTACAGTGCTTGATTATTGATTAACATTTGGCGAAGAAAAAGAGAAAAAATCGCGCTTGAAATTTTTAGGCTCGGGAGACGTCCATAATCCTACCATGGAGTAGCTGGTTAGCTCCCGATATTAAGGCCCCGATCCTCCCGCAATCCAGCGCACAGACGACACGGGATCGGCATCATCAGACGAACACAACTCCAAGGTGAACCCTTGGCCTTAAAACGGGAGCAATCAAGATGCAACCTTCAGTCACCGGTATTCAGGGGCTTTATCCTCATTAGACATTGGCAATATGGCAGTTGTTATTACTTCGAAATGCAAAGAGGATGGTTCCTAAACATTCGCAATATTGAAAGATTGAATAGGGGTCAATGGCAGTCGGCAATTCTGATCCCAGAATCTTGCAGGTGGGTGGCCCCTTGAAGTAATGCGGCTTTACCAGCTGTGGCTATGTTATCACGATCAGATCTCAAACGGATGATGATAATCTTTCTTTCACTGTGAAGATTATATCAGGCTTTCCTGATAGATTTTCTGCACAGACACTGCCAAGTTGGCCCGGCTCAACGCGCTACTGGCTGATATGATGCCGATTTAGCCGGCCTCATTGCAACGATCACAGACATGCCCAACTGACGGAGGCCGAGAAAAGCGTTCCATGAGGCTCTGCCACAGCCTGTTTTGGGGAATACGCGGGGAGTTGCATGCGCCGGCGCAGCTCTTCTTTGGGCACCCAAGATATCTTCTGTGTCTCCCACCAAGTAAGACATCATGACGTGGAAGGGGAGCCATCCAGCACTTATTGGTTGCACAAAGACGACCCTTGAAAGCAGGCAGCCAATTGGGCTCTCCTTTCTTTTGACGTCTGAAGCAGGCTCTGGCGTCTTTGAGCCGCAGCAATGGTTCGCAACTGCAAAAAAGCGCCTGATGCAAGCCATCCGGGGCGCATCGCCAGGGGTCCTGCATTAGCGAAGCTCAGCTGCAGTCACGACTCTCTTTCAGGCGGCGCGGGCCGTTGGACTGCTATAAGGGCAGCAATTCCCAGAGCCTCGCCGTTATGACTGACGGATCTCCCCTCTCTTCTCAAATCGGCCACGGTTTCTTAAAGGCAACGCTCATTTTATCGCTGCATTGGGGTTTCCACGGCCGTGAGAGCAATAGTCTCCCACCGGCATACCGACCGACGATAGGATCACCGACAGGGTGGGAGAGCTCCACTTCACCGCGCCGATCTGATCGCTGGAGCGAGCGGAGATACACGTTCCCAAGCCCACGCGCCGGCCCGTTTCCCTGAAACAGCTCTTTCCCGCTTCCGTTGGATCAGAATGGCCGGAGAGGATGTCTCGGTGGCCATTGCGGCCCTGGTAATTGCTATCGTCGCCCTGTTCGCGGCGACTCTTCAATTCGCACAGGCGGTTTTCGCGACGGCCCGAGGTCTTCCCAACTGCGACGAACGAGTGATGGGCGGGTGGTCAAAGAACAGCAAGAGCAGAATCAGGTGGAGACAACTAAGGCTCGAGGTCGAGTTCGAAGCGCCCATCATCTTTCTGGCCCCTCCGAGAAATGAGAAGAACCCAGGCAAAGGCGATGCGTGGCATGCGGAGGGCACACCGGAGAGTTGCAAGAAGACTCGTGTCGACTATGACACACTTTCTCCCAAGAACGAACTCGAAAGCGTTCATACGGTTGACAACGAGCTTGCGACATGGGTCTACCTGTTGAATGCAATTGAACGAATGGAAAAGGACTCACGGGAGTGGGAGACCGATGAGAGGGAGAAGGAATCGGGCGAAAACTTCATGCCGGTGAAAACGCCACTGCCCCCCGCGACTCTTACAGTCAAGATTATGGCGAAGGAGAGGAGCTTTGACACAAACCCGGCAATCAAGAAGCCGTATGCAATCACGACCATCTCTCATTTAGTCGAGCTTGCCTCCGTTCTCGGGATTTACTGGAAGGTTTTCGACCGTGACGACAACAAGTACCGCGCCGAAGGAAACGGATACATCTTGACCGGTACCCGCATTGCCGACTTTGGAATCGTCTTTGTCTTTGAGAAGACCGGCAGAACTACCTTCGGCGAACGGCGGTTGATACCGACATCAGAGGTCAAGGAGCTGTGCTTTGGCAGAGTTCCCACCCTATTCCGGGCAAAGAAGGATGAGGAAGAGGATGTGGAGTGGCAAGATCCCTTGAAGACATCGTCTGGGAAGAAGGATTGGAAAGTCGAGATCCTAGAGCTGGGTAGCGAGAGCGAAATCGCCGAAACACTCACGCAGATTGGGTGCAATGTCGAAACGATTCTCTACTATAAAGACAAGAAGAAGCACAGGCACATCTTTCCCGGCAAGGTTCACTTCTCGTCATGGGAGATGTTTAGCTAACAGCAGGATCAGTGACTTTCGAGCTCGTTGGAATGGTCGCTCGAGCGATGCACATCAAAGGGAGATGCTTTCGTTTCTTGCCCAACCCAACGATTTTCCCTTGGGATAGGGAGTCAGTGTCGCTAGTTCGTTTTCTGGGCGCATTTACCGAGCTCGTCGAGCGGGACCTAGGGGGCATCCAAGACATACTCTCGCTGATGACGGAAGATGACGAGCCCTTGAATGCTCCAATTGCAGAGGAAGTCAACCAGATACGCTCGATGCTAGAAAAGGCCGAGTCACTCAGGACAGGCGCCGATGATACACTCAGTCACACCCGAATGGCAAAGCTGCATGACACAATCACGTACTTGGATGGCCTCATTCTGAAAAGAGATCAAACCATTGTTCTTGATGTTCTCCGCCGTCACCTGCAAGTTGTTCTCAAGGCTATCAACGGCCGCGGTCAGGACAAGAACGGCAAAGATGGCAACAACACCAACGGAGATGCTGCTCACCGTCCGAGGATATCTCCTTCGGTGGGCTGCTCAACATACCTCTCGAAATGAGAGAGCAGCGGTTCATGGAGACTTACTTCGATCAAATCCTGTGGCGTGTTATTGACTTTACCGCGGACGGAGATCAGGAGGAAGTCACTAGGGAGATCCATGAGAATACGAAAGCACGCAAAAGACCACAGTTTCTTGCAGAGAACGACGAGGCACATGACGCCGATGTCTCGCCTATGCCATCGCCTCGCATTCAAGTTCACCAACCCACGTTCCCCACAGCTCACCCTCCATCTGGGCTCCCGTCTCCGGGTCTGGTGCACAGAAAGACGTGGTCATCTCGTTTGCCACCAAGAGATTGGACAAAGACGGTAACAAGGCAAATCGAGATGCAGAGGCTCACGATCTGGTACACGTTGGTTTTCAGAATGATCTGCTGGCTGACGCTTCATGACTTTGACAAGAAGGATGTCCAGGTACCCAAGAGTGAGCTCATCGGTAATCGGCAGCCTGTCTTCATCATGTGAACAAGATGTTGATTAAAAGCCGCGGTTGGCCCACGAGGTCATGACAGATTATGCAGAATGTTTCGGTCGGTTCGTACCAGGTCATGTACAGGCGCTTGGAAGCATGTTTAGGGGAGGTCAGGACCAGTCTCTAATGCCGGTGTTCACTATTGGAAAGAATAGATATCTAGGGTTATGTCGAAAGAAGTTGCAGTTCTCTGATGCGTACAAGCTGCCCACAGTCGTGAAATTCCAGTGCTACAATCACAACAACTCAAATACACAGTTGGCACGCAATTCATCCCAAGCTTGGAACGCAGACAAGCTCTAAGTATCTCGAAAAAGCAAGCTGCTCGGCCCCAACTTTGCCGGGATGAGCTAGTTAGGGCAATCTACCCCACTGCCGCATCGTTGCAGCTCCCCCGCATTGATCTGAATTTCAAGGTCCAGCCCAACTTCGTCGGAGTATCTACTACCCCCTCCAACAACAAGGCCTGCGAAAGCCGCCACTTGACGCAGCGATCTCGCGCTCTCCCCATCATGGGATCCCGCGAGCAGCCCGCAGCGCTCCTAGAGGGCCGCCGCATCTACCTAGGTAACCTGCTCTACGTCGTCCGGCCGGTCGAGATCGAGGACACGCTGAAGGGCAACGACTTTGGCAACTTTGAGAAGATCGTCATCTCGGTTGATCCCGTGAATGGGAGGAACCCGGGCTACTGCTTCGTCGATTTTGTCGAGCGTGCCGATGCTGAACGGGCACTGTCTTCCTTGTGTGTCGACATCCGCGGTCGTCCTGTAAAGGTCGGGCCCTGCGAGCCGAAGAAGCAGCGGCAGAGAGTCTGGGGGAGGGAAGCGGAACCGAATGATAAGCGATTGGGTAGTTGGACAGGCCAGCAGGAACCTGGTGCTGAAGGGACTGGGGACAGCCCGTACGAGGCGATGGGCCACTTTGATAAAGTCGTTGGCACGGATGGCGATGGCAGGCGGCTGTACATCGGTGGCTTGACGAGGATGATTGACCAGCAGCAGGCCCAGGAGGAGATGCGGCATATCCTAGCTGGATTCAATCCGTAAGTCCTAACTCGAGGCCCGAGGGGTCATGAATGCCACGACCTTGTACTAATGCATCAATTATGACAGAAAAGAAATAGGGAAACGAGTCACACCCCACATGGAAACTCGATCCAAGCCCGGAAACCACCACTATTGCTTTGTTGATTTCGAAACAGTCGAGGAAGCAGCGGCGGTAATTAAGGCGCTGAATGGCAAGGAGTATGCAGGAGGGGCTTTGCTAGTAAGCGTCGCCCAACGAATTCCGGTGAGGATCCGGGAGCCGTCGAGGCTGCAGAGAGAAGACTCGTCTTGGAGAGGTAGACCTCCTCCTCAGAGTGACAGGCCAAGAGACGAGCAGTCGAGCATGGGATGGACCCGCAACCCAGCCCCGAGAGAATCGAAGGACGACTGGCCTACCATGTGCTCACAGTCTTCGGCAAATAGCAGCCAGCCTTCGTGGCCTGTGTTCAGGAGTGAGAGGAGGTCGGAACCTGACAGGTCGTCGTGGAAGAAGATGGGTTCCGGCACCCGAACTCATCGAGTAGCAAAACAGACCAGCCACTTAGGTCTCTGGCTTCCAGTAACTGGCGCCAGAAGACCTAGGCAGTAATGTATTTGAGTACATACTTACAACGAAGGTTGTAATAATCTCAGTTTCGGTTGCTTTTTGAAATAGGAGTGTAATTCGTGCTGTTTGCGGTCCGGCAGGGAAGCGAGCCGTTGGTCAACGGGATGGGACTACTTTTGAAATACAAAGAACTCAATCATCCAGCCCAACCTTTTCATACATATTATAAGCAACCGTGAGGCAATGCTGCTCATTGGCCAAAGTTCAGGTGAAGTGTACCAAGAAGCGAAACCCAAGGCTTCACATGGAGTCAATGTAGGAACTAAGTACGTGGCCGGTATCCCATATTCTCGGCCAACTCCAGACTTCCGCGACCAGAAATCCTGAGTATCATTAATCAAGCTTAAGACGCCCATCATCGCTTGCCTCGGAAGACCATAGACGTTGTCTTATTACACAGACGCTTCCAGATTGTCAAGCAAGAGGTTTCCGTCCTAGGTATGCAATGTCTACACTTCAAATTCAGCCGCTCTCCAGATTCTCGGTCCGTAAAAGTCTACTACAGCCCAATTAACCATATAATTTCGGGATTTCCGTACTGTAAAACCTAGCTTAGAACATAAGCTTCGAGCAAGCAGAGGCTAGAGTTGCCTTCTCTCCCAATGTCTCACCGCTCGTCTCATCAGATGGGGGGCAGGCCATGCCCATGATGCACTCCTACGCTCACCCTTGCATGTAGAGAAAGGAGCTTTCCTCTGCGAACATGCTCAGCAAAAGCTTAATTGGACTTCACAAGCACACGTAAAGAGCTTCCCATGTCCCACCATTAGAGCAGCAAGACTGCCCATACCAGGGTAGCTTCGTTATGTTTAGAGTTTCGGCGCTATGGCGGTGATGAGACACGACTCGTCGTTGTCGCAGGAGAAGCTCTGGAAGGCCTGTGAATGCGACCATGACTCGCTACAAGCACCTTAAGCATCGCCCTGCTCCCCTGGCCATTCGCCGTTTTCGACGCGCCCATTACCTCATCGTAGTAGCATCTCTAGCGGGAAGGTTTAATCACCGCGCTACGCCTAGGACGACGTAGTGAGCCCAGCCCACCGGCTGCACAAGCTCCCTTCTTACGAATCGAAAACGTCGTTCATTAACCGTCTTGCCCGACGACAGTTTAGAAAGTGAAGCCCGACCTCGTTCCAGGACGGCGACTACTTTCCTCATCGAGACCGCATCACCCCGAAGATCCTCACCCCGCTTGGTTTCCTTATGTCCTCCGCGCTCACTCCAGGTCCCCGAAGCTATCGCGCGCCGACCTAGCTTAGCTGACGTGGGGCTGGCGGTAGGGCACTGAAGGGACTGGACGTACGTATCGGGGCGTGCCTCCGGAGCGTTGCGCCGCATCATGGGGTGCCGGCCGTCGGCGAGCTGCTTCGCCTGCAAGGCGAGGAAGGTCAAGGTTTGATGCATCATCCTCCTTCTGTCCCAATTTGGATTGAACTAACTCGATCCCAGTGCGACCTGCAAAAGCCCTTCTGCAACCGCTGCATATCCCTAGGCCGGCAGTGTCCAGGCTACGCGGACCCGTGGACGGTCGTCCACCGCCAGCAGAATGCCTCCGCGGCGCACCAGGTCCAAGTCCGCGTCGCCAAACGGCTCAAAGAGCGCGGCGACGTCCCGACGTTCCTCAGCCCCGGCGGCCCCGGGGAGGGCAGCTCGCCCGAGAGCCAGCGCAGCGACTCGTCTGAGGAGGAGGAGCTCATCCGCCGGATCACGGTGATGCCGCGCGCTGTGCAGTACGACTCGGAGATCTACTCGATGCGGCACTTCCGGTCGAACTACACGTCCGGCAACGAGGTCGGGTTCTTCGATTTGCTGTTCGATCTGAAGCCGCCGGTGAACTCGCCGGGCGTGTTCGAGGAGGCGGTGAAGGCGACGGCGCTGGCGAGCTCGTCGCTGCAGGTGTGCCAGGCGGGGATGATGGCGCAGGCGAAGCAGCATTACGGGAGGGCGATGATGAAGCTTAGTGCGGCGTTGAGGGACCCGGAGATGGCGAAGGAGGATTCCGTCGTGGTTGCGTTTCTCACTTTAGGCCTTTTTGAGGTGAGATGCGAGAGTGAGAGTGAGAGTGAGAGAGGTTGCTGATGAGATTCAGGCGATTATACCGGATAAGACTCCGTCAAAGATAGCTTCACACTGCCGCGGGTCGTTGGCGCTGCTCAGGTATAGAGCCGAGCAGGGGATTGCTACATGGCTGGACAAAGCCTCGTTGGCGTTCATCGCTCAGTTGGGGGTAAGCATTTTTGCAAACCAGGTTTATTTCTGGCTGTCGCTGAAAGTGCATACTAGATTCTCGAAATATTCATCGGCCAAGATGGCCGGTCGCCAATACTGACAGGCTTAACGCAAGCTACGTGGGCGCAGGGACAAGGCGGCGTCGTGGAGGCTCTCATCGCCCGCGCCATCGACTACAAGTTCACCGTCCTAAAAACCACATCCTCCCCCTCCATCCACGACGCCTCCGTCGACACCGTCACGGCCGTCTTCAAAGAAGGCATCGAAATCGTCCGCGACCTCGAAGCCGCCGCAAACTACCGCGTCGCCACCCCGTCCCCGCGCCAATCGCCCCCGGCGGCAGGCCTCCCCGACCCCGGCGTGAACACCTTCAACGGGCTCCTGCGGCGCGACTCGCCAGCCAGCAACGCGATCGCCAAGGGGCTGTACCTCACGGTGCGCCTGCACATGGTCGAGCAGATCCTCTCGCTGCTGATCGCGCTCGGCGAGCCGACGCGCGAGCAGCTGCGCGCGCTGGTGGACCTGCCGCACGGGCTGACGGCGATGGAGCAGGTGTGCGAGCAGATCCGCGTGATTTTCGGGTTCGACGGGCGCGAGAGCGTGTGCAAGGAGCAGGGCATGGGGTTCCAGGCGTGGTGCATGTTCTGGCCGATGATTGCGGTGCTGAAGTCGGCGCTGGCGGATAAGGACACGAAGTTGTGGGTGCTGGACAAGTGTTTGACGGTGAGCCAGGCGAGCGGGTTCGGGATGGCGATGTACCAGATGGGGTGGTTCCAGGGCGGTCCGTCGGAGATGGCCATTATTGAGTAAGAGCCCTCTCTGTGTTGGGGATTGGGGGGGGGGTTGTGTTTGGGTTCGGGAGTTGACTGGTGCATAGACAATACCCTGTGTCAGCCTCTTTGGCGTTCAGATTTTGAGGGAAAACAGGACTTGTGGCGCTTTTATGCGCTTGATACGTTGATATAATGATATTGAGATCCTTGGTCTCGTTTGGGCAGTCAAATGTTGAAGCCATTTGCGACCTCAAGGTGATCGGTTCGATTGACGGGTGAACAGAAACATTGCCGACGGCGTGATTGCTCGTCTGGTTCGCATCTACCCAGATAGCCACACTGCCAAATAATGTGAAGGCATGATATCTCCACCTACTCTGCACCGGACGATTCTGCGTTCCTACATCAGATCTCGATCCAGCCCGCCCTCTCAACGCAACCTGAGAAACTACGTTCTTACACCATTCTCACCAAAGGGACTCACGTCCTCGGCACACGACCCGCCGTCGTCGCAACCCAACACCCGCGGCTCGGTCCGAACTCCGGAGAGTTCAGGCATGGGCCGCGGCACGCACCAAGCACAAGCTATCTCGTGCCATCCCACAAGAGCCGCCACGCGGTCCACCAATCGTTCGGGAGTTTCTTCGGCAGCTTACTTTCCAGACTTGGAATCTGCCTTGGGAACAGCGTCGGTGGCCGCTGCCAGAGTCACGCCCAGCAGTGTGGACAGCGGGAGCGGGATGACCGGGGTAGTCAGCATGGCGATGGACAGGGTCTGGTTTATCTTGAGATTGACGCTGTCTGATATGTGGATGCCGTCTTTTTGTGGTATTGGCGGCGGTGGGAGCGGTTGTAGACGTGATTTTGGGAATGAGCGGGATGGCCGGGGGTGTTGGCCGGATGTCGCCCGGGATGTTCGGGAAGAAGTGGGGCCTTCCCGGGGAGGATTCTTTCGGCGCGGGGGAGGCATGTCGGGCATGTCAGAGAGGAGACGGGCAATTATGGTGGATTTCTCTTCATAACGAAAAGGCTTTGGGTTTGAGTGGTTGCGTTATCTGCGATTTATACCCGTACTTTGGCAGCCTGGTTTTGGACGTCGTCGTCGGATGGATGGTTCCTTTTGAAACAGCAAGGCTGGCTTCGCGGATTGTTTCAAGCCCCTGGATATGGGCTGACATGCGCGATCCTCGACAGACGCGCATTGACGCGGTTGGAGGGCGTCGAAGCAGAAGACAGGTTGTGCTTGCAAGGGAGATGGTCGTCGGCGCTTATATACATTGCTGCGACTGTCGTTGGATAACGGCAGGCTCCACGGCGTTGGGTGCACACCCGCCCGCTGAGCTCTTCAGTCCGGTCATCACGATGAGCGATCAATGACAATCTCAAGGATGCCCTCTCGGGGTGATGGTTGGCTAGCTCCTCTCATACTACGAACGCAGCGCGTAGACAAGAACGGCGCCCCACGAAGTCAGTCCTGCTGAAGAAGAGCTGGCTAAATTCGACGAGTGTTGTCGCCACGCCTCGGCCAGCGTCGGGTACCTGGGGCGTGAGAAATGAGTAGACAGCTTTCAGTCTGTCAGAGCTAACAGAACTGGCGGCAGCAGTGGAGCATGCAGGATGCGAGGTGCTAGGAACCAAACGCCAGCTCCGATCTTTCCATATCCGAATCTCGACTGGCATGTCGGCCGGCGGTCGTCTCCTGCCTTACCATGCAGTCCTGTCGTTGAGATCTGGAAGAAACCGAATGGGCTGCCGCCAAGTCGAGAAATCATCATTGTCGCCTTCGCCATGTTCATCCTGGCTCCCGTACTCGACTCGGCCAAAGATACACACCCGCCCGACAACAGGCCTTAGACCAGACTCACAAATGATCAGGCATGTAAAACTTTGAAATGTCATTTGGTATGTATGCTCAGGCAACTCGACGGTATGCCCCATGGTATCCTTTTAACGGGCCGTGGCCCCTCGCCCGCCCTCGGTCTAGTCTTCCGCTTCACCCCCGCCTCCCAACGCCGCTCTCGTAATCACGTTCTCGTGTCGCTCGTTTATTTGTTTATATATGCACCTCCTCGTCGCGCTCTCGTCTATTTAGCCTGGCCGGCGCCGAGGCGGTCGTGCTCGTCAATGTCGATGGCCTCCCAGGGGTAGTTGATCCAGATGTCCTTGACGGTGCGGGCGACGAAGTACTGGCCGGAGGCCATCATGTCCTCGGGCAGGACGCCCTTCTTCTTCTTGTCCTTGTTCTACGGCAAGTCAGTATCACGGCAAAGACAGGGAAAACAAAGAGACCAAAAAGGAAAACGTACGTGCAGGACAAAGATGCCAAACTGGGTCTTCTCGCCCTTGCCGCCCATGCGCTGCCTCGCGGCCTCGACGTCCTTCTCGAGCTCCTTGACGGCGTACTCGAGGGTGGTGCGGGTGTCGTCGACCTCGTCGACGATGAGGATGCGCTTGCCGATGAGGTTCTCCATCTCGCCGAGGGCGCTGAGGTCGAGCCACTGGGTGCGGGTGACCTTTGTGCCGGGGACCTCGGGGGCGCCGTCGGGGGTGGCGACGCCGCCGAGGGTCTCGGGGAGGGTCTCGTAGAGGGAGAGGCCGATGGCCTGGATGGGGATGTTGGGGCTGCCGGGCTGTTTGAGGAAGGAGCGCAGGATGCGGGCGGGGATGAAGCCGCCGCCGCCAATGGCGATCATCAGCTGCGGCTGGAACTTTTCGAGGATCTCGGTCGCGGACTCCTGGCAGAGCTTGTGGACCTGGTTTGGGAGGTGTTAGGAGATGTGTGTGACTGAGGGTGTCGTCGGATGGGGAGGGGAGGGGGGGCACGGCATGTTCTCTTGCGGACAGAGACACGGAGAGAGACAGGCAGGGGTGGAACGTACATCGTTATACGTGACGTAGAGCTTCTCGACCATGTTGGCGGTGTTTGTTTGGAGGGGCTTCGGTTTGCTTTTTTGTCTGTCCGGGTGGCTGCGGGGTAGAGCTGGAATGCTGCAGATTTGGAGACGGGCTTGTCTTTCGTTTCTTCTTCGTGTTCGCTATTGGGAAAGGTAGGACGAGACGCGAGAGATGACGGGTGTGGGATATACCGAGGGAAGGAAGACGCGGGGGAAAATAAAGAACAAAAGAAAGGAGAAGCTTAAGTAGACTCGATGGAGGGGGGGGAGGGGTCCCAAAGGTGCCGCTATTCACGATCGAGAAGGGGTAAGAAAAAAAAAAAAAAGACCAGCAGCCTGGGGCGGGCGAAGACAGAGAGAGTCACTGGCCGAGTGACCGACGTGACCCCTCCATCGGACCCCGCCATCCAGTTTTTTTTTTTTTTTTCTTTTTTTTTTTTTTTCCCCCCTTCCTGCCAAAATCATTGGCGGCTGCCATCACTGGCTCAGGCACCCGCAGCAGCCTGCATGACCGCCTCAAAAATGCGCTGTGGCCCTGTAGCAGCCCAGCGGATGGGAGAAATTTTGCTGGCGAGCCCCGCGATGAAAGCGCTGGGCGGGCCCCACTTGGGCATGGATCTCAGCGCTGCGCCCCGCATGCCCGTCATCTCACAGTGGCTGCCACCCGCTGCTGCTGTCGGAGCTCGCCGCCTACCCGGGCCATTTTAGGCCAATCACACTGCTCAAAAACAATTTTGGCCAATGAGAGAGCTCAAAAGTGCCCAAACCCGGTGCTCTGGCCAATCCCACCTTCCCCTTCCCATCCCTGCCCGCGGCGTTAGTGCGTCACTGAATTTTCCATGTTCCCTGTCACTGAGGATTTCACGATAATTTTCAGGCCATGCGGTTTCTGAGCTCGTCATTGCTGTTCCTGGGAGTTTCTGAATCATGTCTCTGGTCTCGGAAAATACTATGTGGTTTTCTTCACTGACCTGCATTTCCTGGGCAACCGTTCATGCATGATAACCTGAGCATGCAAGCATCCGTCATGCAGCTGCCCGAACCTGGCGTTTGACGGCAGCGATGAGAAAGACCCTGTTCAGAACATGACTTTAGACTCGTCGTCTCCGTAATTTCAACCTAAGCTGACAAAAAAAGACGTGAATTCTTTTCTCCACTCGAAAGAGCTTTGGAGCAGTCAACACCAAAACATGAAGAAGCTCCAACTGACATTAATAAGAGCCTGTCAGGCTTATCATTGTGTCTGGTTTGAATCTCTCAGGAGGAAAGCCCCGATAGCTTGATATGATCTAGTGCTGTATATGAGAATCTCTTACGTCGAAAATTCTGAGGAAATAGACATGTCTAACAAGGGGTTGTCAATATTACGCCAAGTTGGATCCAGTTATAATGCTGAAGTAAATTTCAACAAAAGCCAGAACATGATTTTGTAGACTGTTCGTGTCGTTCTTACTAATCATATATGTCATACAACTGACAACATGAATGCTTTCGTATGAAATCTTTTACTGATGTCTCTCTCTGTATTTAACTACACATCTGATGGCTACATTGAATAACAGATAAAGTCAGCAAGAGGTCAAAAATGACAATTTCATATTGCGCTCGCAACCGAATATATTCTCAAAGATACGCATATAATGGCTCGGTAGTCGTAGGCTCAGGTAACAGAACACGAAAAGAACACAGTTCCAAGCTGGTAAACATATCTCAAACCCACGCTACTCCTTAACAGAATCATGCGCCACAACCTCAATCTCAACCAGCATTCTCTCATCCCCCAGCTTCTTCACCCCGACAGCCGTCCACAGCGCCTTGTGATCCGGCATCCACCTGCGAAAGTTCCTCACCATGGCCTCCTGGGCCTTATCTGAAAGGTCGACATGATAAGACCTAGCCACGGCCACCTGCTCCCACCCCTTCCCGCCCGCGTCTTTGAGCACGAAATCGACGTTGTCGAAGGCCTGGTCTATCTGAGTTGTGATATCCGGGCTCAGTTCTGTTGTCCGTCTGTCCCAGCCACCTAAGAATAGAGTGAGCCTGTAGCTACATGCATGTTCGTGTGCTGGGAAGGTATATGATATATCTGACCTTGGCCTGATATCCAATTTTGGTTGTCCACCCGCACAGTTTGATTATAAGCGTGGGACTCGAGGGCCTTGGAGCCGAAGCCCTCGTAGGTGAAGAAGGTGAGATGCGACATTGTTCGTGCGGATTATATTTGCGGAAACCGAAATGTATAGAACCACAAGGACTTGGGGAGATTGAGAGTTTCCGAAAGTGTGAATTAGGGTTAAAGACTGTACCAGCCGCTCTGTCGTTAGTAAGAGCAGACTTTTACACATGAGATGGACCAAGTCAACTCCGCAGAACTTCATCAAAGCTTAGTGTTGGTACAGATACTGGTGATGCCTTCTGACTAGTCAGTATGAGGGGTCATAAAGTATGGGTGAAAATGCATGGTATATTGAAGTTGTAGATGCAGCAGTGAGGGCAGTGATATGGCGTTGAGGGCCGGAGAGATCTCTGCCTTCTCATTGGCTGGATTCTGCCGCATCCAGGCTGGGCGGTGAGTGTGGCATTATTACGACACTTAGAAATCCAGAAACCTATGCGGACAGGAATATGTTTTCCGCTAACGCTTCCAATCGACGTCATAAATCTCGCAAGGTTTACAACTCTAAAAATTTCCCCATTTGTCCCGGAAAGGCGGACGAAACGATTTTAGTAACCAGCAACAGCTTTAGTCAACTCATCGCCACATCTTCACTAAAGCCCACCACATATCACGATGTCTCACTACATCACAACCCACGATGCCTCCAGCAAAGCCGTCTTCTCACCCCTCCCACCAGCCCGCCCCTCCCCAACCCTCCCACTGGGCTCCATCCAAGTCCTCTCGTCAACACACACCTTCCCAGTCGACCTCTCCACCGAATCAGACATCACGCAATACCAAACCGACCAAGCCCAGCCCTCATTCCCCGGGACGCGCATCATATGCCCCGACAACGGCACGGCCACCCTCATCACCACGCTGAACCCCGGCGCCGAGAGCCCGATGCACCGGACCATGACGCTGGACGTCGTCGTCATCCTGGAGGGCGCCGTCGAGCTGCGCCTCGACTCGGGGGAGACGCGGGTGCTCCGCGCCGGGGACTCGGTGGTGCAGCGGGCGACGAAGCACAAGTGGGTGAACGTCACGCCGGACGGCGGGGTGGCGCGGTGGGTTGTGTTTGTGCAGGCGGCGGCTGAGGCTGTCGAGGTCGGGGGGAGGCGGCTTAGGAGTGAGTGGGAGTCTTGAGAGCCTGGGGTGGATTAGCAAGGGGTAGGATATTTGGAACCCCCCTCTGGCTAATCGGGACCCCCCCTCTGTGGCTAGTTTCGCCCAGACTCTAATACTAGCCTTTTGCCCTACCTACCACTAGTTTTTCAGTATTATTATCTATTACCTATTAATCTTACTACTACTAACCGATTTTTAAGGTTATTATTAATAATACTATAGCGTCGTAAGAAAAGATTATATTTAAAGCAGAAGCCTCTAATAATAAGCTGAATTTTCACCACTCTATTAACTATACTAATTATAAACACTAACGCTACACCTACCTACTTCTAGGTTGTATTTTTAGTATTAGAAACTCTATATAAACTACCCTTAATAACGCAGTATATTATAATAGCTTCACTATTTAATAACTATATATTAAACCTACTAAAATCATATATAACTATATCTATAGCTTACAAAAAGATAGAGTAAAGGCGCACCACTTCACCACCTCAATATATATATTAAAAAAGCATAAGTTAAGTCCTCCTTATTATTAACTAACGACTGCTGATAAGTAACCCTTAATAAAATAACTACTAGCTAGGTTTTTCGCACTATTAATAGCTAGTATTATAACTACTATAACTATAAGTTTAATAATAAAGCTGCTTATACTAAAAACTACTACTAAACTCGTCTTATTACTAAATAGAAAGTTATTAAGATATTGAATAAAGGTATATAGTTAGCATAAATCCTAACTAGCCTCTGTATAAGAAGGTCTAACTATACTAAAATCATATTATAAAATATATTTAACCTACTTACTGCTTACTACTATAAAAAGCTTAGAAGGTATACACTAATTAAATAGCTTTTTAATTAACTATAAAACCTCTTATAATACTAATATTAGCACTAAACTAACACTAAAAGCTATGTTATTACTCTCTTTTTAGCTCTATATAGTAAAATTAATCTTCTTAAATAACACTATAATATACTACTAATAAACTCTATTGTAAGGGGCTGGCCCCTAGGCTTGTTCAACGTAGAGGTGCCGTCGATTGACTATTCTAAGCTGAAGAAGGAAGAAAGGACTTTACAAGAGTAGGCACCTAACAGCGGTGAAGCAGGCCGGGTAAGGCGGCGTACTGCGGCATAATAGTGGGTCCAACGGAGCCGGATCTCGGTAACTGCTCCGGCGAAGCCGGAGATATCAATCCGGGCTCTAGCCCGTGACATCTATATATAAAACTAACTACTTTAATATACTGCTTTTTAATATATATATAGCTATAAATAACTACTTTACTTTCTAAATAGCCTCTTATTTTTTATCTAATAAAAAAGAGGCTAACTGTAAATAAACTATTAACTACCTCACTAAATTACTTAAAAAACATAAAATACTACCTCTGTAAATCACTTATACTAATTATAAACTTACCCTACTTTAAGCCCTTAATATTAATAGAAAATTCTACTTAATACCTTATCTCTTCTACTGCCAGTATATTAACCTTAATATACTTACTAAAATATATAAGCACTTCCTTATAACTACTAAAAATCTAAATAGGAGCATTACTAAACACCTAAAATCTAGGAATTTCTTAATATATAGAATAATATCCTCTATAGCTAAACCGCTAAAATATATATAGCATAGCTTAATAAACTTTAAAAATCAGGGTTTCTTACTACTATAGTTAACTACGCTTATAACATATAATTTAAC